CCCCCCGCCCCGCCCGCCGATGGGCCGCGCCGCGCCCGCCGCGCGCATGCGCCGCGGAGCCCCGCCCACCGAGCGGGGACGCGCCCCCATCGTCCGGAGCTCCGCCCACCACGGCCACACCCACAAAGGCCACGCCCACCCCGGAGGGAGCCGCGACCCCCGCGAGGCACAGCCCGAAAATCCGAGGGGGGGGGGGCGGACATCCCGGGGGATCCGAGGGTCCCCCCGGGGCTCTGAGCATCCCCAGGGCAGCGCTGAGCAGCGCGGGGAGGGAAGCGGGGGTCGAGCATCCCGGCGGGGGGAGGAGGGGGAGAGACCATTCTGGGGGGTGCTCTGAGCAGCCCGAGGGGGGCTTCGAGCATGGCGGGGGGGGAGTCGAGCATCCCAGCGGGTCCGAGCGTCTGGGGGCTACCTCCGAGTACCGCGGGGGAGGGAGAGGGGAGGTCGATCATGCCGGGGGGTGGGGCTCTGGATATCCCGGGGTATCCGAGCAGCCCCCGCGGGCTCTGAGCATCCCCGGCGGGGACTCCGAGCACTGCGGGGAGGAAAAGGGAGGTCGAGCAGCCCGGGGGGGCTTCGAGTATGGCGGGGGTCGGACGTCCCGGGGACGCCCCCCCGAGCATCTCGGGGTGCTCCGAGCAGCACGGGGTGGGTCAGAGCATGCCGGGGAAGCGGGAGGGCAGTTCCGAGCAGCACGGTGGGTCTGAGCATCCCCGGGCGGCTCCGAGCATCGCTGGAAGGTTCTGAGCATCGCGGGGGTTCGAGCGACCCGGGAGAGCTCTGAGCATCCCGGCAAGTTCTGAGCATACCGGGAAGGGCTCCAAGCACTGCGGGGGGCTGGGAGCATCCCGGGGGCTCCGAACGCCCCGGGGGGCTCCCCGAGCGTCCCGGGGGGACTCTGGCATCCCAGGAGGTTCCGAGAATCCGAGGGGGCCCCGAACATCGCGGTGGGGGAGGTGTCGAACATCCCAAGGCGTCCGCGCATCCTGAGCAGCTCCGACCATCGCGGAGGTTCGAGCAGCCCTAGGGGGGGGTTCTGGCATCCCCGGGGGGGCTCCGAGCACTCCCGGCGCACGGCCCCGCCGCCCTCCCCTCCCCGCAGCTCAAACACCGGCGGTTCCCACCGCGGGGCCGGGGCGGAGCTGCCGGAAAAACGCCGCCGAAACCGAGGGAGGCGATAGGGGACCGGGACAGAGCAGGTCAGTCGGTACCGCTCGGCACAGCAGGGACCGGGACCGCGAAGCGCTGGAGCAGCCGCAGCTCCCCCCGTGCCGGGCAGCCCCCTCCACCCCGCCCCTCCCAGGCACTCGAGCCCCAGCACAGCCCCCCTCCTTCTCCCCGAGTTACTGAAGTTAAGAAAATATAAAATCATTGTCCTTTCTCCTGCCGTTTTCCCTTGACTCTTCAGTTTCTGCTTCACAGGGTCATTCCACAGAATCCCCGAGTGGTTTGGGTTGGAAGGGACCTTTGAAGCCCACCCCGTCCCACCGCCCCAGTTTTGCTGTTCACGCTCAGCAGCGTCACCTGGTTCTGCCTGACAGAGGCACAGCCACCTCGGCAGCCTGGATACCCTGAGAGCACAGGGATCTCAATCACCTCCTCAGGCTTCCCTCCCCAGAACGTCACCACGGCAGGTCCCTGCTGCCATGGATTGTGCCCCCACCCCAGATTACCTCCCTCCAAACCCTTTGTCCCAGGTGGGCCGTGGATTTACAGGGCCCTTCCACAGCCAGAGCTTTAGGAACCCTCCTGGAAGTGCTGGCACAGCACACATTTACTAGAACAACATTAAGACCCACTCCAAACCCATCCACGACCCCAAATGCCCAGATGCTCCCATTCCACAGCTCCTATGCTCCATTTTCACATAACTGTCTTTCCCAATCACTGCCTTTGGGATTAATTCAACCATTTAGCTTGGGATTGTTTTTAATTGCAAGAACCATCAGTGTCTGGGCTAGAAAGCCCCCCTTCAATCCACCCACTCTGTTTTCATTTCCCAGATCCCAGGAAACATTAACTCCTGCTGCTCCATGGCCCAAACACGAGCCACATGGGCTGGTCTTATGCTTCCAGGCTTTCCCCTTCAGCTGGTGACTCCTCTATGGAAAGAGACTTTCAACTTTTGATACTTTGAAAGGGGCACCTGAAACTTCTACGGGATCTTTCCAGCAAGGTAACAGCCACCAGGAGCTGTTTCCTTACTTCTTTCCACTCCTCTCACCTGCCAACTAAACCCAATGTCTTCCAGCTGCTGAAAAGTTTAATGAAAACAGGTAACGAGCTTCCTCCCCTCCTGTTTTACCTTCTCTCCTGCTTTACCTCCAGAGCCCTCAGCTATGAGCTCCCACCAGCCCTTCCCTTCTGTCTGGATGCTGCAGACTGTGGCAACTTCTGTTTTCCCCTCCAAACAGCTCAATTCCACGGAAATGTGTCTGCATCCATCCAGATTCCTCAGTACTTGCACAGATCCAGCAGCACCAGCACAGCCCTTGGAATCCTCCCACTCCAGACTGGCCTCCCCCATGCCAGGAGCTGCTCAGAGAGCTGGCAACTCCAGGATTATTACAGAGAGCCAAAGGATCCTAGAAAAACCCGAGTTGGAAGGGACCCACAAGGACCATTAAAGTCCAATTCCTGCCCAGGACACCCCAACAATCCCACCCTGTCCCTCACAGCATTGTCCAAATGCTCCTGGAGCTCTGGCAGCCCTGGGGAGCCTGGGCAGTGCCCCAGCACCCTGTGGGGGAAGAACCTTTCCCTGAGATCCATCCCAACCCCCCTGGCACAGTTCCAGCCATTTCTGGCATCAAGATTTGCACCTCCTGAGGAACAGAAGCTTCTCCTCCAGGGACAGACACAGCCAATCCAGGTCTGAGCCTCACAAACTGGCTGTGAGACATCTCCCCTCTCACTCTCAAAATATTTAATGCTGGAAGCTGAAACACCCCACTAAACTACTAAAAATAGTGGGGTTTCCACAACTTGAGAGAGAAGGGTACAACCCCTCCAGTCTGAGCTTCTTCTGTTTCCACAAGATGGAGAAAACCCATGAACGACCAACACCACGTCTCTGGTGACTTCTCTGGGCAACCTTCACCAACACAGAGGAGTCCACCTGTACTTGAACCTGCCCAAGTGGCTCCTTAGGTATGTCCTTGCTCCAATTCCAACACTAACACACCCCTGGCCACCATGTCTCCACCTCTGAAGCCCCCAGGAAGTCCTGTACACGGGCTTTCAAAACCCCCTCAGGAACTGCACTCCCAACACTGCCCTTTTTGCCTCTCTGTGCTCTCTCAGTCCTTTTGGGAAATTTCTACATCAAGTCCAACAACACCCAGGGAAACTGCCAGTTGTTATTTTAAGTGCTTTGGCAAACCTGGTTTGTAGCTGTTGTGTCTCTGATCTGTTCCATTTTCAGCAGAACTAGCTCACGCTTTCTTCTGAGAGCCTGAATTCCACTCATGACAAGTGGCCCTTGGGTTTTTTTTAACCTGAGCAATTAGCAGCTCTTAAAGAGACTTGTGTCTCCCATTAACAGAGAAAATGATTCTACAAACTAGAGAAGTTGTTCAGCACAACTCCATTTCTTTACCAAACATGACCCTGCAGAAGAACCAATTTCCCTGAACACAAGAGAAAAGAGAAGGCTCCTACTTGCTGCTTCCAAGCCCATCCCTCCAGCTGCTTTCCCCGTTTCCCAGCAGGACTCATTCCCAACTGTTTGTGCTGCCTCTAATCATTTGGTCTCTGACCACTGAAGCTGTGGCTGCCCCATCCCTGGAAGTGTCCAAGGCCAGGCTGGAGGGGGCTTGGAGCAACCTGGGCTGGTGGAAGGAGTCCCTGCCCATGGCAGGGGGTGGAACTGGATGAGCTTTAAGGTCCCTTCCAGCCCAAACCATTCTGGGATTCTGTGATCTACAGAATAAACATATCCCCCAAAATGACCAATCCAATCCCTTGGCTGTGCACAGGGAATCATGGAACACTGGACTGAAGCACAGCAGAGGTCTAACAGCCCATTAAGGTGTATTCCACAGGGAGAAACAGAAGTACAGCAAAGCATTAGTGCAACCACAGCTCCATAAGCCCAAATCCCCCAGGAACAACTCTGCAACAGCAGCTTATTCCAGGTCAAGTGTGCAATGGCAGAAGGGGCAATATCCAAGCTAGAATATTTGTTCTAGAATATTTGTTCTGCTCTAGAGAACATTCTCTGTAGATCAACCCCTAAAGATGGGAATTACTGAACACAGAGGAGGGGACTCCCTGCCCCCAACCAAAAACCTCCACAGTTGTCACAAAATCATCTCAGAATGGTTTGGGCTGGAAGGGACCTTAAAGATCATCTTGTTTCCCCCCCTGCCATGGGCAGGGACACCTTCCACCAGCCCAGGTTGCTCCAAGCCCTGTCCAACCTGGCCTTGGACACTTCCAGGGATGGGACAGCCACAGCTGCTCTGGGCAACCTGTGCCAGGGCCTCCCCACCCTCACAGCCAACAATTCCTTCCCAATATCCCATCTCACCCTGCCCTCTGGCACTGGGAAGCCATTTCCCCTTGTCCTGTCCCTCCATCCCTTGTCCCCAGTCCCTCTCCAGCTCTCCTGGAGCCCCTTTAGACCCTGCAAGGGGCTCTCAGGTCTCCCTGAAGCCTTCTCTTCTCCAGGTGAACCCCTTGAGCTCTCCCAGCCTGGTTCCAGAGCAGAGGGGCTCGAGTCCCTGGAGCATCTCCGTGGCCTCCTCTGGACCTACTCCAGCAGCTCCACATCCTTCTGATGTTGTTCCCCTCGCTCAGCCCAGGGCACAGGGGGTTTCTTGGTGCCAGGACATGTGGCCAGGGCACATCCAGCTTTTCATCCACCAACACCAAGTCCTTCTCCCCATATTTCTCTCTATTTTATCCATTTGCCTAAATCACAGCACTGCACAGAACTAGAGTAGCTGCTCCTCTCACTCTTTAGGAGCTCCAACTCTGCTTTCTACAGTTTTTCAAGCACATGCAAATACCATGCAAAAAAGCCCAGGCTTGGAGCAGAGCACAGAAGAGGTGCTGCAGCTCGGAGCAGAAGTACAAAAAAACCCTTACTCTGTGTGGGAAGAGAATATTTCAGCACATCAGGAGCTGAATCACTGCCTGTGGGTGGAGCCAGACAGATTGACAAGATCTGGAACTTGAGAGATGACCTCAGCCCGAGATCAATCATCCCACAAAGCTGCTGACTGAGGGAACAGCACATGGGGACAGCTCGAGGTGACAGGTATCAATGTCAGCCTGATGTGCCAAAACTGCATTAGAGGCACAAACTACAATTGACCAACTCTGAGTGAACTCAAACCATGGACCTCTGAGATCCCTCAGCACCAACAGGCCCAGCAGCCTTTTCTCTGTCACCTCTTGGCATCAGCACCAGTGATTTCTTCATAGTTTTCTTCATACATTTCCTCACTACAGCAGGACATGAAAGAGGCATCTTGGGGGAAAAGAGCCATTAGCAAATGGCTCTTTTTCAGGCATTAAAAGAATGAAGAATTGAGCTGTCAGGTAATGGTTCTGCAGTTGTGGAGCAGCCACTTGATGGAAAGCTAAGAATTAACTGCAGATCAGACAAAAGCACGAAAAATAAAAGATGGCCCACCACACTTTCAGGTTTTACAGCCCTTCAGATCACTGAACCCCATGGAATGTGCCCAACAGGCTAATCCAGGACATGAAAATGGGCTCATATTACAAACAAAACCATGTAGTAACTTTTTAGTATTCACCTCTTTCCAAAAACTCAACCCTGGGAGCAAGTCCAGAGGAGGCCACGGAGATGCTCCAAGGGCTGGAGCCCCTCTGCTCTGGAGCCAGGCTGGGAGAGCTGGGGGGGGTTCACCTGGAGAAGAGAAGGCTCCAGGGAGAGATGAGAGCCCCTTGCAGGGCCTAAAGGGGTCCAGGAGAACTGGAGAGGGACTGGGGACAAGGGATGGAGGGAGAGGACAAGGGGGAATGGCTTCCCAGTGCCAGAGAGCAGGGATAGATGGGATATTGGGAAGGAATTGTTGGCTGTGAGGGTGGGGAGGCCTGGCACAGGTTTCCCAGAGCAGCTGTGGCTGCCCCTGGATCCCTGGAAGTGTCCAAGGCCAGGTTGGACGGGGCTTGGATCAACCTGGGCTGGTGGAAGGTGTCCCTGCCCATGGCAGGGGGTGGCACTGGATGTGCTTTAAGGTCCTTCCAACCCAAACCAGTCTGGGATTCTATTTAATCAGAAGACCTGTAATTGGTACATGCAAATGAAACCAGATTCCTCCAGCGAAACATTTCTGAATTTTGCCACTGGACACAACCCAGTTCAGAAGTTACTCGCTGTCCCACTATTCCAACTCTGCACAGTCTCAAACCATTTCCATTTGTGACTCTGCAATGTAAGAAAAACCCACTAAAAGTCCAGAGATTTATTTAATGAATGGACTAAATAGTTTCCTATGCTTGGCAGAAGTTATTTATTACTAGCAGTCAGTGCTATTAGTTAGCAGTAGTTATTTGTGGATATTGAGAAGAAATCAGCAACACTAAATCAGCCTTCCAACCAATGCCCTGACAATTTCTAGTGCATTTTGTGGGTCATTTTTGAAGTTCAACACGTTTTTTTCTCTCCTCACCCTCCCCAATGCTCTGTCACTGTAAATACCATTTAGCACATGCTGTTCTGTGCTGTTCTCTCCTACACTCAGCTTCTCACAGGGTCAGACTCGGGGAGGGGGGGAAGGAAGGAATGGTTTTCCCTCATTAGCTCAAGTTGATCCCTGCTAATCTGAGAACAAATCCAAGTTTTTAGCTCCCCACAGCCCATACAGGACATTATTTTCTGTGCTGCAGAATTAGGACACCACCTTCTCGTGGCTCTCTGTGCTTCATTAATGCAGGGAGCTGAAATATGCAGCACTGGGAACCTCGACCGACCCCAAAGTCTGTTCTGAAGCAATTCCAGTGGATGCAGAAATTCCTGCTCAGAGTGACAACAGCATTTTATTTGACAGGGAGTAAGTGGTATCATCCAGATATCTGCATGGGCACTGGACTCTTGGAGATTGTTTATTTAATGAAGAACAGTAAGTTTTTCAGGATTAGCTCTCCACTTAGATAATCCGAGTTATTTGGGATTATGTCCATAAGAACATTCTCCTGCCTCCTCCCCCTTTAAACACATTATCCCACCCTCTCTCCCAGGACCAGGAGTGTCAGTGCAGACAGAATGGTCTCTCCCTAAAGCAAGACAAAAGGATCTGAGTCAGGAGTGCTGAAAGACCAGTTTTCCTTCCAGGTGTCCTGCTTCATCCACATCCTGCAGAGGATTTAGATGGGATATTGGGAAGGGATTCTTGGCTGTGAGGGTGATGAGGCCCTGGCACAGGTTTCCCAGAGCAGCTGTGGCTCATCCCTGGAAGTGTCAAAGGGCAGGTTGGAGCAACCTGCTCTAGGGGAAGGTGTCCCAGCCCACAGCAGAGGGTGGGGCTGGATGAGCTTTAAGGTCCCCTCCAACCCAAACTGTTGTATGACTCTCACTCACAGCCATGACAAAGCCACCCCAGGCAGGGTTTAACATGCCTGCATTCCCAGAGTCCAGCCATGTCATTCCTGAGTGTTTTCCCTTCCTGATGTGCTCAGTTTACAAGCAAGAAAACCCCTCCCTTTCCTTGCTCAACAGCCAGTTCAGCAAGTTCAACTTCAGATGTGAATCGAGCCAACTTTTCCTGGGCAAAACCACCTCCAGAAGCTCTGCAGGTCAAACCCAGCCTGTCCCACATCCATGCTAATTTGTTCTTTGGATTGCACAAAATTTTGTCCAACCAGGATCCAATAAATGTAACACTGGGAATCCAAACAGGGAGACAATGGCATTCCCTTAAAATCTGGAAGTTCTGGAAAACAAAGTGGGGAGATAAAAACTGGAGCCACCTTATTGGACCAGCTCCAACACACTGTGCAGAACAGGTTATTAATTAATGAAATATAAGTTTGGCCTCAATTCTATTCCACTGCCCTTAAATATATTCTTTACTAATCATCTGCTTTACAAGTCATACCTCAAAAAGCTGCTTCCTCCACCCTGGGGATATATTTGATGATGGCACTTTATCCCCATTATTCACTTCCAAGGCTGTGATAAGACAAACTAATCCAGTTATTGCAGCAACCTGAGAAAGACATCATGGTCAGTGAGAAGAAATATTTGGTTTACTTACCTGTCTTGATAAGCAGGTAAAGTTATTCCAGTTTCTTTGGCTGTGAGAGGAGTCCTGGGCCCCTTTTGGCACTTTGCACAGTCAACTCCATAGGAACAGAAATATGAATAATCTTTATAAATCTCTGAAGGAAAGAGAAAGCTGGACAGGGAAAGCACAGTGGGGAAAATGAGAGGTGGCAGCAATTTAAACTTGATAATTCAGTGAATCAAAATATGAGTATCAACATTACAATCCTCTATGGTATGGTTCTACAAATGCTTATGGTTTAGATCCAAGTAAAAGTAAATAAAGACATCACTAGATATTAAACAAGCTTTACAAAAGAAACAGTGTCAGAAGGTGATTGCTGTGCTCACAAGGACACCTCTGGTGTGGGTTATGAACTGCTGGGGTTGGGATTCAAAGGACACATGGAAATGGTGTCCAGTGGAGCCAGGGGAGGTTTAGATTGGAGATTAGGAAGGTTTTTTCTCCACAGAAAGGGTTGTCAAGCCCTGGTACAGGCTGCCCAGGGCAGGGGTGGAGTCACCATCCCTGGAAGTGTTCAAACAACGTGTGGATGTGGCACTTGGGGACAGGGGTTAGTGGTGAACACGGTGCTGAGGTGATGGTCGGACTTAATGATCTCCAAGGTCTTTTCCAGCCTCTTCCAACTGATTCCATGATTCTCTATAACCAACCTGCCCATGAGATGGGACACCCTGGCAGCCTCTCACTCCAGGAGGACACAGGAGGGAACTCTGCACTAAGAATTAACAGTTTTCCCCAAGTTTCCCTCTGTATTTCCCTCTGCCAGGCCCCAAATATCAGGATCCAAATCTCAGAGTGGAGCCCTCAGCAAATCCCCCCTGAGCATCTCTGCTGGGATAACTGGGAGGGGCAGAGCAAACTCCAGGTAAGGGCTTGAGGCAGACTAGAGGAACCTCTTCTTTGTGAGAAACATTTAATTCAACACCATGACTTACAAGAGGACAGGTTTACAGAGTAATAACCGTAACAGACTGTTCAGAAAGGAAAATAATGGTCACTGCTTGCAGTGCCAGGCACAGCTCCCCAGAGCAGCACCTGGCAGAGCAGCAGCAAAGCACAGCTCAGTCTCCTTGCAGTACTCAAGTGAGCAACATCACAGGGGTTTGTATTTTCAAACCTCTAAGAAAAGGGTGAACACAGGATCAATCACTCTGGCAGGGGATATTTTCCAGGGATCACGAAGCTGAACTACTCCCAAAGGCAACTCCCTCTTCCCCTGCTGTCCCTGCTGGTGGTCCTCACACAATAAAGGCTCTGGGAGCTACTTTCTTCCCCAAGTTTTGGGATACCACCAACTTGTACAATTGGTCAGTGGCACAGTATTTAATCCACCACTTTCTACTGTTCTCCCAGCACGAATTGTGCAATGGATACCCTAAGACTAAAATAACTTTTGCAACCCAGTCAATGCATTCTCCAAGCTATAAACTCTCATCTTCCTCCCCTCTCCTTGTCTCCCTCCCCAGAGAAATCCATTTTTAGCCACAAGTTACCCCAATATGCTCACAGATGTACTGGAAGAGACTGAGGAATCAATCAAGGTACCCATGGTGAAGCCAAATACTTATAAACACATTAAGGCAGGTTTCACATCAGTTCAATTTTCGACACAAAATGCTGGTCACTTCACTGCACATGCAAATAAGAAAAGATTTAACACTTAATAAAAAGCTTTAAATTCCTTTTTAGATATCAATTATAGAAAAATCAACCTTTTTCCTTTCTTTTTTTTTTTTTTTTAAAGAGGTCAGAACATTACTGCACACGAAAGCAGGTGTGTGGCCACACCTGTTGGAATGGATCCCCTTCCCTCCACACAGAGGAACAGAGGGCAGGTTCTTGGCACCAGAAGAGAAAAAGGAGGAAGTTTTTCTCATTGTCAGTCAGAAATGAGTCATCCTTCCATCCCCAGTTGAGAAAAAAAAGTCCTTCTGACTGGACTTGAACCAAACCAAAATATACACCTCAGGTTGGGTATATTTTCTCTCCAAAACTCTATTCAGAGTGTTTGGACACACAGAGTCCAAACCGTGCTCGGGAGTGCTCTCGGTGTGGTGTGGAACTAACCCCAAAGCCCAAATACCAGAGCTGGCAGCCCAATTCCTCGAGTGTAACTTCCCCTACTCCCCAAACCTCAGGTGGGACCAGGCACTGGCAGTTCAGCTCTGAGACTGCACTTCCAAGACCAATGTGGCCTCGTGAGGAAACGGCGATTCAGTGACTGGAATTCACATATGGAATGACAATCCACGACATGAAATGACCTCCCTACAGCCAGGTACAAACAGGTAGCCCACAGCAGAGTAGCCAAGGAGTGAAACAGCATCTCTCTCTCTCTCCCGGGTTAGAGAGAAAATTGTTTCTATGGGTCATTAAAGGCATTTTGATAAAAAAAGCTTAAAAATGTATCACCTCGCACTGACCCACGAAAAATAATAATAAAAAAAAAGACAGCAAATTTGGTTCCTATTATTTCCCCTCCCACCATGTGATATTCCTTTATCCCCTCCCACTTTTGCATTCCCAATCACCCCACCCCTTTAGAAAAAGGAGGGGGAGTGGAGTTTAGTCAAGTTCCACCTGCAAAACTCCCCAGCAGAGAATGAACCATCAGCTCCCGTGTTTCCTGAAGTACATCCAAATGCTCCGGGGTACAGTTGGACTGGTGGTGCACTCTTGGCTCTGTAAATGGTTGTGCTGACCCTGCTGATTGGCTTTATACTGGGAATTCTTAGATGGAACTCCCTGGAAGAGACAAAAAAGACCTTGTAAGTCAACAAGAACTTTTTGTATCTTTACAGGCAAGTGAGTTCTAAAAAGAAGAATTCCCTTGGCCATAACATATCCATGTCTTTATCTCCTGGGTTTCACCTGCAGCAGACAGTTTGTTCTAGTTCTTGCTGTTGCCAGACCTTTGTAGCAGAAAAGACCTCAAGGTATTCACTGTCCAAAAGCTACTGCTAGTGATGTGGGAAAACGGGAAGAAAGCCCAAATATAAGATGGGATCTCCCAAAGGCCAAGCAGATTTCACACTGTAATCAATCTTCCAACTTGAAGGATTGCTTAACATAAAAATCACCCTTCTACCTGAAGTCCAGGTGTCATTCCCTCCAAAGGGGCTTTTCTTCTGTTATTCATCCTAAATATTCCATTTTTCCCCCCTCCATATTCTTGATTCTTGCCTCACAGGCTCCAGAGGAGGTCACTAAATTGATCCCAGGGCTGGAGCCCCTCTGCTTGGGAGACAGGCTGGGAGAGCTGGGATTGTGCCCCCTGAGCCTCCTTTTCTCCAGGCTGAGCCCTCCCAGCTCCCTCAGCCACTCCTCACCAGACTGTGCCCCAGACCCTTCCCCAACTCCATCCAACCTGGCCTTGGACACTGCCAGGGATGGGGCAGCCACAGCTGCTCTGGGAAACCTGGGACAGCCCCTCTCCACCCTCACAGTCAACAATTCCTTCCCAATATCCCATCTCTCCCTGCCCTCTGGCACTGGGAAGCCATTCCCCTTGTCCTATCCCTCCATCCCTTGTCCCCAGTCCCTCTCCAGCTCTCCTGGAGCCCCTTTAGGCCCTGGAAGGGGCTCTCAGGTCTCCCTGGAGCCTTCTCTCCTCCAGGTGAACCCCCCCAGCTCTCCCAGCCTGGCTCCAGAGCAGAGGGGCTCCAGCCCTTGGAGCATCCCTGGACTCTCTCCAGCAGCTCCATGTCCTCCTGCTGCTGTTCCCCAGGGCTGGAGGCAGCTCTGCAGGGGGGGTCTCCCCTGACACACAACCAGCACCCCTTTAAAAGCACAGGCTAAAAAGCAAAGATCTGTCCACATTTAAGATTCCCCCTGAAAACCTTCCTGCCTCCAGTGAAGTCCAGTTCAAGGTGAGCAATAACACTGGCACCTTACCTGGACTATACATTCTCCATCTCCTGGTCATGGTCCTGCTCCTCCTCCTCTTCTTCCTCTTCTCCTTCTTCCTCCCCTCCTTCTTTCTCTGAGGGGGGTTCCCCATCCCTGGCGATCTCCTCCACGTGGGCCAGCATGTCAGCCATGAGGGCCTCCTCCAGCCTCTTCCTCACCTGCTGCACCAGCTCCTCCTGCTTCCTGCCCAGAGCAAGGAACACCCACCATCAACCCCCAGAGAAAGGAACCTCCCAGGGAAAGGAACCTCAAACCCCTCCACCACGAGGCTGGACAGACAAGCATGGATTGGAAAAGCCCTCTGAGAACTGCACTCATAATGCCAAAACCCTTGGCACTATATTGATGGGGAAGATGAAAAACACTTTAAAAACCTGCCCAATATTTTCTGCTACAAGCCCTGTTGAATTCTGGTTGGAATTTGACCAATCTAGCAGCTGACTCAAAGACTTTTTTTCTTTTTAACTCCTACTACTAATATTAAACAAGAAAAACTCAGCCTGCCCTGCCCAGGTTTCCAAAAATCAGACTGGAGAAAAAGGAAGTTTCTGATAATTTCCTTTTGCTCGTTCCCCTTCTGAGTCCAAACCTTAAATTTTATGGCTCCTTTGCTGTCAAAGTCCCAGTAAAGAAGAGATCACTAATCAGTGGCTCATAGGTCTCCTATTTCAGCTCAGCCACAGGAAATCAAAGTTATAAGCAGAGTGTTTTTCCTGGTCATTCCGGTACAAATCAAGCACAAAAAATTCATCCTGTAATCCAAAAGATTCCTCAAGCAGTCAAAGCAAGGATTATCTTTAAACATTTAGTGAGAGCAAACAGCACACCTGGAGGTTACTGTTTGGTATTTTCAGTTCTCTACCATGCACTTAAAGCTGAGTTTGAGCAGTCCTGATTTAGCAATATAATTCATTGTTAAAGCAACCTATAGCTAAATAAACTGTACCTTGTTCCCTGCCACCACAGCAGGCAGGACTTTGATCTGGTCAACACATAAATTTTATTTATTTTATTTTATTTACTGACACAGAGGAAGGGTGAAGAGAATCCAATCACACTGCTCAGGATTTCTCCAATTCCATCTCTGCTCAGAGATGCCTAATCAGGGTCACCCCAATTCAGACACCTCTGTCAACAAAAGGACACTTTGACATGAAAACCTGAAACTTCAGAGTAACTGAGCACGGCCAAAATAAAAAACAATGGGCTTTGAGCACACGAGAGCAGCTCTGTGTGACAATTTTTGTCTCCTCTGCTGCTGAGGAGCCATTCAAATGAATTCCCAAGCCACAGTGCTCTATCAGACACCCACAAAAAAAGTACTGTTTTACCCCAAGGGACTTTGTTCCAAGTGGTGTTTCTAGTTAATACCTGATATCTTCATCTGTCACCATGAAGGCTTTGCAGAGAGGCTGTGAGGTGTTGAGCCAAACCCCAGGGTTCTTCTCCACAGCTGCAGAGAGCTGGCCTGTGATGGGCATGGTGCTGGTGTGCAGGGCACTGGCGATGGCAGAGAGCAGGGTTTCATCTGTGCACCCCGGGCCCACCCCTGCAGGGAGGGAGGAAAAGCCATAACCAACAGTGCACAGGGCAGGGAGCAGCAAAATCAGGACAGCAGGAGTGAAAGTGGAATGGCAAAACACACGCTGTGCTTTCGGGAGCTAACACAACATAAATCCTGGACACTGGAACAGCTCCTGTGCAGCTCTCCAGGGGTATTCAAACCCAGGGCACTTCCTCATTCTGTTACACAAAACCAATAATAAAGGAAAGCTAGACCGGGAATGAAAGGTGTTTCCATGATGTTTGAATGGAAATGAGAGAGAGCTGGGGGGGTTCACCTGGAGGAGAGAGGGATCCAGGGAGACCTGAGAGCCCCTTCCAGGGCCTAAAGGGGCTCCAGGAGAGTTGGAGAGGGACTGGGGACAAGGGATGGAGGGACAGGACAAGGGGAATGGCTTCCCAGTGCCAGAGGGCAGGGTGAGATGGGATATTGGGAAGGAATTGTTGGCTGTGAGGGTGGGGAGGGTCTGTCCCAGGTTTCCCAGAGCAGCTGTGGCTGCCCCTGGATCCCTGGAAGTGTCCAAGGCCAGGTTGGACGGGGCTTGGAGCAACCTGGGCTAGTGGGAGGTGTCCCTGCCCATGGCAGGGGGTGGGACTGGGTGATCTTTAAGGTCTTTCCAACCCAAGCCAGTTCTGACTCTGCTGTTTCTGGAACATGGACCCCAAAAATGTCAAGAAGTTTTGCTTTGGTGCTTTCTCAGGCCAAGGGGCACCTTTCTCAGGCCCAGGGAGCACTGGCAGTTCCTGCTGCAGCAGGAGTGACCATGGCACTGCCAGGCACACACAACATCTGCAGCTCACTGCTGACAGGCACCAAAATGCCCTCCCTGAGTGAAGGGCAGGCTCTGATTACCTTGCAAACCTTTGGGAAGGTCCATTGTTTTCACCAGCTCCTCTGCAATGTCAAAGGCATTCAGTCCACTTAACTTCTTCTCCCAGAAGAGCTGGAATCAAAGAAAGGGGTTCTTGGCACAAACAGAAACAGAATTGTCAACTCCACAAAGCACCTGCTTCCTGTGCAGGGAGGGAAGAGCTCTGCTGTGGACAATTCCATGTGGATTTACTGCAGAAGGGATCTGCCAGGAAGGACAATCCTCACTGTCAATCAGCCCCACAACTCCCCTGTCCCAACCTGCTGCCTTCAAACAGATTTCCTTTTCTTCCAGGGCCTGGTATTTTCCCTGCTCTGAGCTGGAGAAGCAAGGCCAGGCTTGCTGGCTTTCATTTGCAGGCCCATAGTGTGAGACAGCCTTTTTTACACCCCATTCCTCTCCTGCTGTCTCAGATAACCCACAGAAAGTTAAGGAATGCAAGGACTGGACCCAAGGTAAAGTATTGCTTTCTTCCTCTCCAGTAGTTTCTCATGAGAACCACCAGGTCTGGTCCTTCACCAGATTTTGAGTCACAGGTTCTCCTCAGGAACATCTGAATATCTGCTTTGGTGGAAAGGCAGTTACAGCACCTGATACACCTTCAACTCTCCACCTGGGTTCATGAGGGTGATCAATGAACAGCTGGAGGATCAATTATATTTCAAAAAACCAATTTTATCCAGGTTTTGAGAAAACAAGGATTCACCCCAAACAGTCCAAGCAAATCCCACCCCCTTTTCCCTTCTGGGATTCTGTGATTTTTAAGCCAGGGCCTCAGCACTGCTTTGAAATTTTGCAGAAACATCTGGAGTTTGTGAGCAGAAGGTCAAACATTCTGCTGCCTGATAAAATATTTAAAGCAGGGACACAAATCTCTATCCAGCTCAGAATTTGGAGGTCAGTGTCATATCTTTAGTGTTCTTTTACTGTCTTAACTATCAAAACCACGGGAACAGCAACAACACTGTGAACACACGGGTTCTACTTCCTTAGGAAAACAGGGTAAAACTCTGCCAATCTCTTCAAAAAACACAAAAAACCCCACAGCCATCAAAACAAACCACCCAACTCTATTTCAGAGAGGCTCTGTCTCACACCTGAAGGTTCTAGTTGAACTAGGTTCACATGAACTGCCCTCAAAATGCAGTTTTGAAGTTTGCAGAAAAAAAGTTTTCAATGGGAGAAGCAGCAGTTCAGAAAGGGAATTTTTAAATTGTGTTGAAATCACTTTCCCTCTTGGAACAATTGATTTTAACTCCCCCTTGAACTGCAAGAAGTTCAACTGTACTGAGAATTGCTTCCAACAAGTACAGCTCATTTTACCAAGGCCTTTCCTTGTCCTAAGCACTCTTTTTGCATCCTTTCACCTGATGAAATTAAGCTGATTTACCTTAATTTTGGTGTATTCTCTCATTTGAAAATACACAGTTTGATAAGAAAACCACTTTGATTTTGTACTAATAATGACATTCCAAGTGAATTTATGATCTCACACTGGCAGAGTTAACTCCTACTGATACACAATCCCTTGCACTACATCAAACACCACACTGGATGTGGCCTGTACAGGAACATAGATTTCAAACACGGAATTCCCATACAACTGGAACATTTGACAGTGATTTTAATCCTAAATGATCCCTGAAGTGATTATAACACCTGACTAAATTTGGGGCATTAAGGAAATTAAGGTTTAGCTACTGCAGAATTGTGATCTAACCAAAGGCTGGAGTTTAGTCATAAATCCCAGTGCACACAGCCTGTAACTACAGACTGGAAATGGGGTTTGCTCTGCTTTTAGAAGCTGGGAGCACTGCAAGGCAAAGCTTCTGAAATACCAGATTTCTCCAGACTCCAAAATCCCAGAGATCAGGAATCTCCAGGGAGCATTTGCTCAGCATCACAGAATGAAAGTGGTTTATTTTGGGATCTTTCCAGTAGCAAATCCAGGAGTTTCTCGGTTTTCTGGAGAAGAAGCTGCAAGTCTTACCTGTCTGGGTTGGTCCACAGCTTTCTGGGGGTCACTCTTCACCTTGTTGCTGGGGTGGTTTGTGATCTTTGTGACAGGCTGCTTGAAGATGGAGGCTGTTTGTCTCACAGGCAGGGCTGTGTTCAAATCAGGCTTGCCCTGTTTCAAGCAAGAGCAGAGGAAAAGCCCCCCCAAAATAGTTTCTATTTGCCAAAATGCTACTGCAGCCACAAAGATCTGCAGCAGCAAACAGATCATGGGCTTGAAATCTTGTCTGATCTCAAGTTATACAAGTTAGACTGCTAAAACTGCATAACTAAATTCAAATCTTGCCTTAGACCTATCAAAATCAGAGTTTTCCACCCATTCTTTTTAACATACCAGCCTCCACCCTTTCTAGTTTATACCACATCACTTTTAGCTCCATTTTCACTGAATTTAGTAGGCAGAATGCTTTGCCAAGCCACCTGTAGATCACTAAACCAGGAGACGACAACCCAATATTTGTAGTAATTAGAAAAATTATGAAGAGGGATTTAGAGACTCATTTGTGAACCCAGAAACTATTCTAAATCATTCCATTTAAACCCAGCTGAGACCAATAAACAAACCAACACGGCTGGAATCTGGATGCCTTTTTTTACCTTCAGTTCTGAACGAAACTCAGCTTTTAAATGAAGCTCTTCATCAATTTTGCACTGTATGACTGCATTTTCTGTTAGTGGAAACACAGGAAGACTGTTCCTCATCCCCAAAATCTAAGATGCAACTCTTGGAATGGCTCTAGGACACACTTTGTTCTCGAGGATGCAAACACTGCATCTGATTCACAGATTTATTCATGAGATGGAGAAAAGATGTATTCAGGACAAATATAATTCTGAACCATCTGGGTGCTAATCCATTCAGAAGCCAATGGTAACGATTTGTACATTTATTGAGAGGTTTGGGCACAATTTTTAGCCTGAGAGGTGTGTGAGCTGCTGGTCTCTGCCTCAGGGCAGGTCCCAAAATATCACAGCAGCTCCCAGGGCCGGGAGGAAACGTTCTCATCGCTCCCGTGATGGTTCTTGACTTGAGGTATTTAAAATACAAGCATTGTGCTTTTTTCACACTAATTTTAGGTGCACAGACATCAGCTTTTGGGTTCTGAGAAAGATTTTAGCAACAAATGAAGATACTCAGGAATGATTTGAGTGGATCAATCCAGACTCGAGTACAGCCCTCCAACATCACTGTCACCCTGACTGGACCTTAACAACCCAAATTACCAGGTGCTAACACAGACTCTTATTCTGTCCTACAAACAGGCCTCGCCATCCTCTTCCCTCTCCAGATTTTTGCCCCAAATGCCTCCTTCTCTTCAATCAATTCCAAAGCTGACACTGGTATGGCCTGGGATAACTCCACTGAACCACTGGCTGGGGGCTGCATCACCCCTGTGGATACAGGTCCCTCCTCTCCTCCCAGACCAAAGACCAGGGCAGGGCAGAGCTGCTGCACAGCCCCAGGAGCCAGCTGGAGATCTGGGGCTCTGCAGGAGACTGTGCTGGAGAAGGTGAGCCCACACTCCAGGGAGTGGGATCACAGAATCATGGAATGGTTTGGGTTGGAAGGGACTTTAAAGCTCATCCAGTTCCACCCCCTGCCATGGGCAGGGACACCTCCCACTAGCCCAGGTTGCTCCACGTCCCATCCAACCTGGCCTTGGACACTTCCAAAGATCCAGGGGCAGCCACAGTTGCTCTGGGAAACCTGGGACAGCCCCTCTCCACCCTCACAGCCAACAATTCCTTCCCAATATCCCATCTCACCCTGCCCTCTGGCACTGGGAAGCCATTCCCCCTTGTCCTGTCCCTCCATCCCTTGTTCCCAGTCCTTCTCCAGCTCTCCTGGAGCCCCTTTAGGCCCTGCAAGGGGCTCTCAGCTCTCCCTGGAGCCTTTTCTTCTCCAGGTGAACCCCCCCAGCTCTCCCAGCCTGGCTCCAGAGCAGAGGGGCTCCAGCCCCTGGAGCATCCCCATGGCCTCCTCTGGACTCACTTCAACAGGTCCATGTCTTTTTTGACATTGGGAAGAGATGAAGATGACAAATGTGCTCTTCTGCACAAATCTTGAGTAGCACCACATTTTCCATGGCACCAGCCCCCTGGGAGCAGCAGGGAATTGCTTTTGTCCCACCCCCCCCAACAGAGATGTTCTCACACAACTCCAACTTCACAATTCAATCACAAAACGCTTCATTTTCACTCTGCCCCAGCCCCTGAAATATCCCAGCCACTGCTCTGGCAGCACAACAACAGGCAGGGAGGGGAAGTGCCACTGCATCTGCTCTTACCTTGGCCTGGTTGGAGCAGTCATAGCGCATCCTCTGCCTGTTCTTGTTCATCTTGTTCATCAGCATCTTTCCCGTGCGGAAGTCGAAGGTGCCCAGGTCCATGGAGCTGCCCAGGTACCGGGCCAGCTGCGGCTTGCTCCGGAACTTCTTCCCACTGGGGCTGGGAAAAAAAACACAGGAGAGAAATGCAAACCCTCTGGATTCCAACCCCAGCACTCCCTACAGCTCAGCAGAGGCAATTCCTATTTCCTTCCCGAAAAACGGGTGCTGATTTTCCAAGGACGAAGCTCACGTGAAACTCTAAATGGATATTTCTGCTTTCATATTAACTGCTTTTCATGTGGAAGAGGCAAATTAAGTGCAGACCATGGTAAAGTGTTTTTATATATTAAGAGGAAGGTTCAGATCCCGTCAATGAACGTGGCACAATTCACACAACAACCACCATGGGTGATCTCATTACAGAAGAACTTCTCACTCAGCTGTCTCAGATAACAAATGCCCATTTTCAAGCACAATTTCTTCTCCCAGGAATGTCCCATTTGACCAGCACCACAAATGTCTCCTCATCTCCTCTCCCTCCCCCCTGAGCAGCACATTCAGGTTTAAACACAATGCTTTGGTTGCATCCTGAACACTTCAGGATTACCCAGAAGCAGGGGGAAAACCAGAAGGCAGCTGCTGACAAGCTGCAGAACAACAAATTACAAAGCTTAAGTGGTGCAAAGATAAAGGTCAAAACCTTGGAAAATTTTCCATTATTGGCAAAAGGGAAGAGAGAGATTCCTTTTAAATACCTGGGTTCCTGTGAAAGACTCAACCTGGAGACAAACACTTTGCTGGGGTTCTGGGATTGGGGCTTTTTTAATAATATAACATTATAAACTCATTTTTTTTAATGCATAAAGCAAAATAAGTCAGTATGTTATGGCTGCAGTGTAGAACTCTAGAGACAATAAGGACAAAGTATTCTTCACCTCACTGAGCAGCATAAAAACTCCTCTTCATTCCCCTAATTTCTCTCATTCTGGATTTCTCCACTTTTCAACTTGCATATCCAATCCTAGCACCCATCTAGGAGAAAGCTCATTCCACATAAATCCATTATATTATAACAGCTTAACTGAGGAAAAGGCATTTTAAGATCAAAAATGCCAGTTACCACCTTACCTCCCACTGGTGAGATACTGACAACATCTCCAGGGTCTTCTCAACAACAAGAACAAAAGATCAAAGGAAAAGTCTATTTTCACATATTATCTGCTGCCCTGAAGCTTTTTTTAGGGGAAAAGCAGCATAAGAAGAGAATTTCTAGCATGGGACAGTGGCAAAGGAATTAGTGCAAGTCAGACTGTACACAAAACAAATAAAACAAACAAAAACACAACCAAAGGATTAAAAGCTCTCCCAGAAACTGAGGCAAGGTTAAAAGGAATTATACTAAAACTGAAATAGCCTCTCAAAGGAGTTAAAACTTAAAGACTGTGGTCATGCCACACAACATCTGCTTAAGAAGCTCCTGGCTCTGATTGCTCCCAAGCTGCTTATCCTGCCTGGATCTCCTCCCTGCCACCACCACCACTGCTCAAACACCAAAGTGTTCATGCAAACGAGCCAGCTGGGGAAAATAATCCATCTTTGGAGGGCAGGGAGAGGGGGAGCAAACAATCCATCACTGGTTATTCCTCAGCTGGAATAACTGTGGAGCTGCACCGACACTCTGGCCAGAAGACAACACAGAGCAGGATAAGCACCCAGGAACAGAGCCTGAGTCCAGCCTCAAATTTGTAAATCACTTTTTAGGACTATAAAGGGAGTTTTTTTGCCTCGATCCAGAGAGAGGAATAACCAACTCCAACAGCTTTAGGGCAGAGCTGTGGGTGAGGCCAGGAAGAAACTCCTCCTATATGAAGAACATGGCATTGCTTCCTCTTCCAAGATCTGCTGCTCCAATTTAGGGTTTAGTGTCTTTAATTCATTACTTTTAAAATTACAAAGTGCAGAGTAACTTTCAGAACAATTAGATACACTCAGAGACAGGATTTTAAACGAACAGAGCCCTTTGGGTTCACGTGGTTTTGCTGTGTTCATTTTGCACTGGAACTGAAAAGCTGTTCAAAGCCCACAAATGTCTCAACAAACCCACCTGAAATGACTGAGAGTCCTGTCTCTTCCTGGGGAAGCTTGGCCCAAAGGAAAAGCACTGAAATGGTCAGAAGAAAAACTTTTATTGGGATTAGGTCTCGCAAAAGGCAGGATCATCCCAAGCTGCTCCGGGACAACGGCACATCAGGGGCAAAGCCACAACTCAAAGGTGACAGTGAGCACAGAAAGGAGGGGCTGGGGTGCTCTGGGACCCTCTGGCAGGGGCATGCAGGACATTGGGGGGACCTCCACACACCTGAGAGGCTCAAAGTTGGGGGGAAGCCCAAACAACCCCCAACTCGAGCAGCAGCACTGCCTGCTGCTCACAACACACAGAAACTGCCCCCAGCAGTTCACGACTCTGAGCACTGCTGAACTGCCTCTGTGCCCTTTAAATGTCACAAAACACAGAATTTACCTCCTTCCACCCCAGAGACACAAAGACTTTAAAGAGGCCCAGAAAGGAGACATTTTGGTACAAAGCTGCAAAACCCAAACTCTCTCAGCAAGAAACCCTGCAGGCACCGAAGCTGCGAGGCCAAACTGATCCCAAGGTCCCAAATTGGGGTCTGTCACACTTCCCCAAGGCTGAAAGGCAAGGGCAAGCAAAGCTGCAAAGGATTTTACATGCTCGTCCATCAACAGCTCCGAGGCTTTATCTGCCCCTGGCTCCCACCAACAACACTGACCCGGGCACTGGGACCGAGCCCGAGCCACCCCCAACCCTCATTCCCAGACTTTTCCGTGCGGATTAAGCTGCATTCGGGGCAGGCTATTGAAGGGCCAGGCCTGCCAGGTGCCCCTGCTCTCCATGTGCAGCTCACCCTTTGTTTCCTGCCTTATATCCTTAAGGAGAGAGCGGCTGCCAGCCCGGGCCCTCTCCCCTCCTCCCTCCTCACAGGAGTCTCCTCCCCTCCGCTCTCCCATTCAGCCCGCACAGGATCTGCACAACTTGGGAAGCGAGGGACAAAAGACAAAAACAAAAAACAAAAAACAAAAAAATCCCTGAGCCGACCCAGCCGCCGCCTGCCTTGGGAAGAAATGGAGACAGGAATAACCCGGGAAAACGGGTGATCGAGAGCACACACCCAGAGCCGCTGGGGGGACGATGGGGAGAGCACAAAGTGATTTTCCTTCTCCTCTTCCATGCGCTCCCTCCTCTCACTTCTCCCCCCAGCCCCGCTCCAGGCCAAGCCCGGCACTGCGGGCCCTTGGGGGGCTGCAGGACCCCTGACTCTGCTCTCAGGGATCCCGGGACACTGTCCACCCTGGCACTGTCAGCATCCCTCTTACAGCATCACCGCGTTATCCCGGGGTGAAGCATCGACAGCCAGCCCTGTCCCAGCGGTCCCACACTCCAGCTGGGTTCTGCTGGGATGGCACAGACACAGAAACACTGATGGGAACAAGCCACACCAAGCTGGGTGACTCCTGCAGCTGCCATAACCCACCCCACTCCTTCACATCCAGCCTTGGGGACCCGACCCGTCCCTTCCCACCAGGGCTGTCCCAAGCACCAGCGTGGAGGGGATGGTGCTCCCTGCCCTGCAGGGCAATGGGGTGTCTTTGTTCAGCAGCTCGGGCTCCAACCACACCAAAAAACCCCAAAACGAAGAACTTGGATACACAAAACCTTCCAAATCTCCAGAAGCACCACACCTCTACACAAGAGCCCGAGTGGTAACACCATAACAGAGGAACGAGCACAAACAGAAGCAGATGTTTTTATAAGGCTCAACTCCAGCATCGTGGAATCGTGGAATTGTAAAGGATGGAAAAGACCTTTAAGATCATCGAGTGCAATCATCAACCCAGCACCACCACCATCACTGACCCACATCTCCAAGTGCCACAGCCACATGTTTTATTAACACTTCAGGCACGGTGACTCCACCACTGCCCTGGGCAGCCTCTTCCAGTGCTTGAGAACCCCCTCCATGAAAAATAATTCCCTAACACCTAATCTAAACCTCCCCTGGTGCAACTTGAGGCTGATCCCCTCTCATGAGAGAAATCATTAGAGCTTCCCTGTGGGCAAACCAGAACAGAGGAAAAGCAAAGCACAAACTCAGGAAAAGCATTCTCCTCTACAGGTTTTTTTTTGGGGGAAAAAAGTATATTGATCAAAACATCCTCGGGGGAGTGTTAAAAATGTTTTCTTCCAGCTTTTTACATTAGTGCTGCAAAGGTAAGAAATTCTCAACCAACTAAGTTTCACACAAGAGATCTGTGAAGTTTTTCCCAGCGCAGCAATTTCAACAACTTGAAGCAGAGACGAGCAGAGATCCCAAATTTCTGACACTTGGTCCTCAAACTTTCTGCAGAAAAATACTCTGAAGAAAAGCCCCACAAAGCAGCACTAAATTCTCCTTTCCCTGGGTGAGAACCCTGAGTCTGAAGAGAGCTTTTGTAGCCAAAACTCCCTCAAAGACACCCTGCCACTTTCACAAAATCCCTGATACCCTTCCCTTCCTGAAATCCTGCATCCCAGCACCTTTCCTGCTTGCTCCAAATCTGGCCCACAGGCCCCACCACATCAGCCAGAAACCTTCCTAAGCCTGAGGTTTGAGGATTGGTTTTAAAACCTGCCCAGGTACTTACACCTTGAGGAAGGTTTGATTTCCAGCCAGAGACTGGCTCACACACACACCTCACAGGGAATTTTCGACAAGCCCTCACTGCATCTGTACATCCAGAGGAGGTGGACAGAAAAATCACCCAGGTAAGCAACAGGCAGAACTAGCAGAGGTATTAAAGAACCACCACACCTGTATCTGCCACTCTGAGGTAATGCAAAATGCAACAGTAGCCAAAAATTAGTGGAACAAAGCCCTGTTCTACCTTTGATCTTTGTCCAAATTGATATAAAGGGACAACCCATTATAATTCGGGAATAAAAACATGCTGCTTATCCTCTCTCCCCCTTTTTTAAAAGTTCAGCTCCCATACTGTAACTTTACAAGTAAGTTCTGGGGAAAAAAA